CCGGCCGAGGCGGAGCGCGGTAGCGGTAATATTAAAGCCTCAAAGAAGAACGGTGCGGCGTTTAGGGTTTAGGATGTAGGGCTTAGGGTTCAGGTCTTAAGGTTTTGATGTTCAGGGCTTAGGACACTTAATTCAGGGTTTCAAGGTCTAGAGTCCAGAATTCGGATTTCCGGGTTTGGGATGTAACTCGTCTTCAGGGTGTCGGGCTGGGACAAAAGCTCCACAGCGGACAGGGCTGGGGACTCAGGTCTGGAGACATAAGGACGTTGCAAGCAGTGCTAGCAAGCTATTTTTTTTGCACGCTTGCCGGCGGCAAGGCGTCTGCCCATGATGAGCTCAAGACCAACCCAGAAAGCCCCCGGCATCCCCTCAAGATCGCCCCAAGATCCTCCGAAAATGCATCCAAAATCCCCCAAAACTGCCCCAGCATAACCTGCAACCCGAAAAGGCTTCCCCCGCCACCCCCCAAAAATCCATCCTGGGGTGCAGGGCACCTGCAAAATCCAGCCCCAATTGGCACCTCTTCCGAACCCCCTCCCCCATGATCCCAGGCTCACTGCGTGAGGTACTAAACGAAGCTCCTACACGTGGAGCTTTCGTGACCTCTACCCTCGCCCAAACAAACATGGAAGGCATACCGGTCAAAAGGACCACTCTCTCTGTAGTGCTCCTTGTGGGTTCCATTTCAGTGAGAGGGCGGGTTAACGCTGACCCAAAACTAAGCAAACAATCCGATCCCGCTATCTGTCAATCCCCGTAAAAATTGTTGATTGACTTCGAGCATACTAGTCCTGTTTAAGTAGGGGTGGCTGCCAATCTTGCATCCAGGTTGTCACACGGTGTCCGCGCGTATCGCAGTGCATGCAGCACGCTGGGATTGGACGACTCGCAGCTCGGAGCCCAGCTACATCAAGCAGCTGTCAGAGCTTGAGACTGGTCGGCACCTCCTCCAGACGCTGCTGTTGTGCTTGCGCAAGCTCCTGCAGCCGCATCCAATTCATCCTAAGTCTGCACCTGGCTATTCCAAATTGCAATCATACAGGTGTCGTCTCCTGAGATGAACCACGGTAACAGCATCAGCATCTGCGCGGAAGGAACAACAGGAGCAGCAGCAGCAGCAGCAGCAGGCAGGCAGAGTCATCCATCCATCCACCCATCCAACCATCCATCCGTTCGTACATTTGCTTGCGCAGACAACAGGTGGCTAGTTTCGCGGACAATGCTAAAGTCAACCGTCGACCAATTATGTGGATGCTTGGGCATGGAAAGATCTAGCTAAAAGGAACTAAAGTGAAGACCAAAACAACAAGCACAAACACTGCGCAAATCAAAGGCAAAAAAGCCACAACCCCTGCAGGAGGACACCTCACCGCAAGCTGCAAGCACCAGGTGTTCTCGCTGCAAGCAGGCAAGGGCTCGCAATAATATCAAGATGATACTTATGCCTACCAGTAAAGCTTGCTGTTCCTACACAGCGACTTAACCTTTTCTTGACATGGTGGTCGCAGCAGCAGCAGCAGCAGCAGCAGCAGTGGCAGTGGCAGCAGCAGTGGCAGCAGCAGTGGCGGCGGCGGGGACGGCAGCAGCAAAATACGGGGCTGATTCTGCATGGGCAGCCTGCACTTCACAGTCGCACAAGTCTCCTCTCTGGATTTGCGCAGGTGCCGCAGAGCTTGCTGGTGCATGTTCTCCAAGAAGTCGATCCTTCCGCTCCCAACTGTTCCCAACTTGTTTATCTAGATTGGGGCCGTCTTTGCATGAAGCAAGCTGGGACCCTGTTAGCAGCCTCCACACATTTTGCCGCGCAGCAGGCTTCAGGCAATTGTTGGTGTCTATGTGGAATAGTGTAACAAGCCAACCAGAAAACCAAAGCGATGTTCCAGATCCTGGAGTTCATGTCTCACAAAGCAAGCCGTCACATATCTTGTTTGGAGATCTCCAGGCACTTCCAACAATGATGTGTCGAGGGCTGGCCCCAACAATGATCTGTTTAGCGCTGGCTAATTGCCTACAGCTCATGCCGAGCGTGTGCAATGTGCCGACTGCCAGACCCTCTGAAAAAAGCAGCCAAACGCCAGCTCTACAAGCCTTGGCGTGCACCCTGCAGTACTGCAACCATTAGAGAGGCAAGCGCATCCACCACTAAAGTAGGTCAAAAACACATCCACCTCCTAATGACATGTAGGCCATTAGGCCAGGCTTGGGTTACATACAAGCAGCTGCGCAGCTGCATCTTGAGGGATCTCAACAGCAGCTCCCCTCTCCAGGGATGAGTACGTTCCCGCGCCACGATTCCTCGTTTTTTCGGCTGCGAAGTAAATTCTACTTGTTACTTGGTCAGTGTGAGGAACCGAGGCTGAATAGACTACTCAGCGAGATCGATGACGACCATAGCATTCTGAATTACAACACATTGCCGCTGGGGTCATTCCCAGGCAGGCAGCGTCATTGCATGTCATGCGCTCGGGGTCACGACGCTGCAATGCACGAAGCCATCATGTCCACAACAAACTCACTTCGAAGAACCTTCGCCCCCGTGTGGCCACCTTAGCTGCTTCAGGTGTACTGGCAGCAACCTTTTGATCCATGGTGCGAGTCGGTTCGTGTCGTCTGGGCCCTGGGCCCGAACCATCCGAGCATGCCTATCGGTAGAAATGTGAAACTCTCGAGAAATTCTAGGGAAGGTTGCACCATCCCAAGACCTGCCTTTCTGGATACAGCCGCGCTGGCGTTTTCCGGGCCTGGGAATTGCATCACCCAAGCAGAATGACGGCTCCGCAATTTGCATGAGACTCATGCTAAGATCTCTTGGCACTTGCTTCCTCTTCGTTGGGGTAACTGGCACCGCGCTTCTGCAGGCAGCCTTCCGGAATTAATTGCATGAATGCATCTTCTGGCTTCGGGCTCAAAGGTCAATCGCACTCTAGCCTGGCAGCGGAAGCTCCTGGCCCTCTCCTAGCTGTCAACACAAGCATTGACTGTCTCCATAAAGCAAAACGCTAGGCGAAACCCCGGGTGCCTGTGCATTTTGCAGGATTGCCATTGAAGCGCCATGATGAAGTAAAAAGTCAACATAGCAAGCCCAGATTTGAGACACCTCAGCTGTGCAGTCTGTAAACCTGACATGATTCAACAGTTCGCACAAATGGATGCTGTTCAGCGCCTCTTCAACGGCAACACCGTCCCCAGTGTGAATACCAAGAGTTGCGTCATGAATAGCCTACTTCGAAGACGGGCGCAACTGTTTTCGGCAGCAGGTGCATGAATCAGCGCGAGCCTCCTCGAAAAGGCCCATACATCTGGAAAGCTTGCTGGGCCCTGCAAAGCCATTTACTCGCGGCTGTAGCACTGAAAACCGCATAGGAGAATGGCCGACATGCTCCCCCGCCTTCGTGCCCAGTGTCAACCGGATCTGGAGCCGCACGCATAATGAGGGACCTGGCTGAAGGCGCAGCAGAAATGTCAGTTGGCGTAAATGGGGAAGAGTCAAGCTTGCTGATGATCTCTGCTGGCAAACATTGCGGAAACTGCTCCTGGTCCTTTGCCTGTTCCAACCCCTTCATAGTTTGTTTCCTAACAATGCACTTGCGACATCTAAGAAAAAATCCCTCCCTCTTTGCGCCACTCCAAACTTGTCTTCTGTGGTGGTGGCTCTTGCTTTCACCTCGCAGGCGGCTGCAGCTGCAGGCGGCTGCCATTACTGCTACAACACCCACGACCACGAATACCACGGTCGAGTCAGCACCAGGACAACGAAGACCTTTCTCTCCCCCGGGCAAGTCGCCCCAGAGAGTGTCGTGGCTCATCAATGGCAGGATTCCAGAATGGCCGCTACTGAAGCATCAGTTCCCACACACACTCTTCAGTTATGCTTTCCTCCAGCATTCTGAACATAAGGGTGTGCCTCACCAGTACGCATTCCATATCATAAGGCCACTGGATGCCACTAGCTATGCGGACCTTTTCAAGAGCAGAGGATTTCTTTCCTGTGGATGACGGCACAATCCCGCAGCAGTGTCGAGTTCTCGGCTCAGTAGTTGGATCAAAGACGAAGTAAGATAGGCCGTAGTAGACGACACCTTTGGATATCATCGTATGCAACCGGGCGATGATGTACTGTACTCGATTCTTGGACTCCACAACAAGGTCACAAGTCCGAGAAGCATGCCAGCTGCACGTGAGATCAAGCAGCAAACCAGGTTCACGACATCCAGCTCTCCAAGCCTCCATCAAAAACCTCAAAAGGATGCTTTCCAAAAAAAATGCACTCAAACGCGAGTATGCCATGCCTGGCAATGTTTTCAGCGTTCAAAAGCCTGTATTTTGGGGAAGCCGGAACTGTCGCCAGAGAGCAAAACGTCGTGAAAAGATGCCTACCCTGCTGTGTCGAGCCAGTTACACTTGTTAGCTCTCAGAGCCCCTCATCTGAACCATTAGAAATACGCCAGTCCAAGAATGCCTAAAATCAGGAGGGTCAGAACCCCAATGCCTCAAGCTTAGATTGCTACAGGTTTCGAGGTGACGGATGCATTTGGGGAAGGACATTATTATGGTTTGGCCATGGATGCTCTGGTGACCGCATGCTCTTGGGGATAGAATCTAATTATTGTTCTTCTTCAAGACCAAGTACCAAAAACAGCGCGCGGCAAAACTCCCGTGCGCAAAAACATGTACCATACTGTACCATCATGCAGAAAGGCCAGATATCCAGACAATCAGGGCCCCTGCCGACAGGCTCTGCCAGCTTGCCGCTGGCTGTCCTAAATCACGTGCATCACTCATTGCGGCGTCCCATATCATGGCCAGTACTCTATCACTCAATGACCTCAGCAAGCCGTGCGTACCTGCGGCCTGACAGGTGATCAAATGATTGAAAGCAAGGCTGCATTTCAGATCGTCTGGGTGCCAGGCTTAGGATAGATCGGGATCTCAAGTCAACGGCCCGCAATGCAAACCGTTCCAAAAGCGCTGCTGCAGAGGAGACATCCTTGGCAAATAGCGAACAGCACTTGTGCTCGGGGGGACGAAAGCTTAGAAGCAGGGTGTCTACTGGCATGTGCATTTTCCCGAATGCGTAGCAGAAGGGTTCCCGTTTTAAAGTTGGG